TTCCCCTCTCCCATATCAAGAGAAGGAGAATAACTCATATCACAAGAGACAGAAAGTCAGCACCAACTTGAATCTGCATAAACAAATCTTACTAAAATAGCCATTATCTTCCGTTAGTGCTTCCCATATATTTACCTTCCCATAATTTACTGCCCCTAGATGCCCAAATCCCGCTTCCTTTGTCTTGTTATGTATCCACAACTTGTCCTTTGTTAAAATGGCATATAAGCCCCCATTCCTAATTGCTTCTCCTGTTTTCACTTCTTCCCTGTGAAGTTCTCACATGCTTGTGAAATAACCTTTCCGTTCATCTGCCTTTTCTCAGTTTCATTTGCAGGTCCCAGATACTAAACCTACCAGGTAGAGGAAAAGGGTTTTCTCCTGTCTGTAATCCACCGTCTAGAATTCTGGCAGTCTTCCCAGCCTCTTCCCTTACTCTCCTGTCTTGCATTCACTTAGTCTCCGACACTGGTGAGCCACCTGAGCCCTGTGCTGCTGTGAAACAGGTGAGTTAAGAAATTTACCCATCGTTTTGTTTTCCAAAACCCTCCAACCTTTTGTGTTCCAACGAAACAGCTAACTGCAAAGAACCACCCTGCTCACACATATTCCATAGAAAGCCTCATCTCCATCCTTCCTTATAAGATTCATGTAGGACTCTTTTGTTTCGCTGCCTCTATGAAACCTCAGGTCCCCTTCCTTTTCCCTGAGATGTTATTAATTAATAAACATGTTTTCGATTGCAATGGCCCGAATAAAACCACCTCTGTAATTGTCTGGTACATTTTGTCTTTGATGTCAGTAAGTCATTCCTGATTCTATCTCCTAAGCTAAGTAGCTGTTGAACGTCCCCTCCTTTCCCTCCCACTGCCCGTTCACCAGCTTTTACCTGGATAACTGTAGCGGTCTCCTAAATGGTTTCAAGGACTCGGCTTTCTTCTTCTCCACCCCATTCTTCACATTACTGCTAGAACGATCTTTCTGAAAAGCAAGTCATTATCCAATCTCTGTTTCCTAGTCTAACTTTGAAGACACACTACCCCCTCCACCCGCCCCACACATGCACACACACAATCCATGAGTACACTGAATTACTTGGGTGAAATACTGTGCTTTCTCTCACCTCTTTTTTTTTTTTTTTTAGACAGAGTCTTGCTCTGTTGTCCAGGCTCCTGGAGTGCAGTGGTGCAGTCTCTGCTCACTGCAACCTCCACCTCCCAGATTCAAGTGATTCTCATGCCTCAGCCTCCCGATTAGCTGGGATTACAGGCGCCTGCCACCACACTCGGCTAATTTTTTGTATTTTTACTACAGACGGGGTTTCACCATGTTGGCCAGGCTGGTCTCGAACTCCTGACCTCAGGTGTTCTGCCTGCCTCGGCCTCCCAAAGTGCTGGGATTACAGGCGTGAGCCACCGCACCCGGCCTCCCATAGCTTTTTGTGCTTTCTTCTATCATTCTTTTTTGTCACATTGTATTATAACTGTTAACTTGTTTGTTTCCTTCCTCCCTCCACTAGGCTGTGAGTTTCTTGAGGATAGAAACTTCATTTTATTTATCTTTGTATTCCCAGGCCTGGTACAATACCTGACATATAATAAATGTATGTATCAGCATTTACTATAAGTACTATAATAGCAAGTGTCACTTGAATGCTAAATGCCACCTAATCCTCACAATCGCCTTCTCAAATATGCACAAATGTTTATATTTCAATGAGTTGGACAATGTACATGTTCTCATTAACATCCTTTTATTCAGCGTAGTTGATAATTTAAGCATAAGAATATTCTTTTTATCCCATCTGAAATCCCAAAGATACAAGAATAAAAAGTTTTCCTAATCATTTAACATGTATTCTGCCCACTTCTTTTTTTTTTTTTTTTTTGAGACGGAGTCTTGCTCTGTTGCCCAGGCTGGAGTGCAGTGGCGCAATCTCCGCTCAATACAAGCTCCACCTCCCGGGTTCAGCCATTCTCCTGCCTCAGCCTCCCGAGTACAGGCGCTCGCCACCATGCCCGGCTAATTTTTTTTGTACTTTTAGTAGAGACAGGTTTCACCGTGTTAGCCAGGATGGTCTCGATCTCCTGACCTCGTGATCCGCCTGCCTCAGCCTCCCAAAGTGCTGGGATTACAGGAGTGAGCCACTGCGCCAGGCCCACTTAACTTCTTAAGTCTTGAGGATCAGCATTTCCTTTTATTCCAAAAGAGGGAATGCTCTGGTAAGTGGTACGTGGGGTGGAGCTTTTAGTGAGTGGAAGGGGCTTTCATGACTACCTTCTTTTTTTTTTTTTTTTTTTTTTTTGGAGACCGGGTCTCACTCTGTCGCCCAGGCTGGAGGGCAGCGGAGCAATCCCAGCTCACTGCAACTTCCGCCTCCCAGGTTCAAGCGATTCTCCTGCTTCAGGCTCCCGAGTAGCTGGGATTACAGGCACGCGCCACCACGCCCAGCTAATTTTGGATGTTTCGTAGAGATAGGGTTTGACCACGTTAGCCAGGCTGATCTTGAACTCCTGATCTCTAGTGATCCACCCGCCTCAGCCTCCCGAAGTGCTGGGATGAGAGGTGTGAGCCACCGCGCCTGGCAACTACCTTTTCTTCAGAGTTCCCTCTGTTCTCTTCCTTTGATAGCCGAGAGGCAAGCCAGGGAATGACCTCCTTTGCGTGTCTTCCCCCATCTGCCCTCACTATAGGAACTCCTAGAAGGACCAGGACAGACACAAGGATGTAAGAGAAAAGGACAGAACAATTAATGCAACTGTGACTCTGGGCTTGGGGAAATATTCTCTTCAGTACACACATTTATTTATTTATTTGTTTATTTATTTATTTTTGAGACAAGGTCTCACTTTGTCACCCAGGTTGGAGTGCAGTGGTGCAAACTTGGCTCACTACAACCTCCTCCTCCCGGGTTCAAGCGATTCTCCCACCTCAGCCTCTGGAATAGCTGGGACTACAGGAACACGCCACCATGCCTGGCTAATTTTTGTATTTTTGGTAGAGGCGGAGTTTTGCTATGTTGCCTAGGTTGATTTCGAACTCAGAGCTCAAGTGATCCACTCACCTTGGCTACCAGAGTGCTGGGATTACAGGAGTGAGCCACCATGCCTGGCCTTTTTAATTTTAAATTCACGAGGTACATATGCAGGTTTAGATTCAGGGCGTAAATATGCAGGTTTTGTTACATGGGTATATTTCGTGATGCTGAGGTTTGAGCTACTGATCCCATTGCCCAAATAGTGAACATAGTACCTGAAAGTAGGTTTCAACGCTTGCCCTCTTTCCTTCCTCCTCTCTTTTGGAATCTCCAGTGCTTATTGTTCCTATCTTTGTGTCCATGTGTACAAGATGTTTAGCTCCCACTTAAAGTGAGAACATGCAGTATTTGGTTTTCTGTTTCTGCATTAATTCACTTAGGATAATGGTCTCCAGCTGCATCCATGCTGCTGCAAAGGACATGATTTCATTCTATTTATTTATTTATTTAGATACACAGTTTTGCTCTTGTTGTCCAGGCTGAAGTGCAATGGCGCGATCTTGGCTCACTGCAACCTCCACCTCCTGGGTTCAAGCAATTCTCCTGCCTCAGCCTCCCGAGTAGCTGGGATTATAGGCACCTGCCACCACGCCCAGCTAGGTTTTTGTATTTTTAGTAGAGATGGGGTTTTGCCATGTTGGCCAGGTTGGTCTCAAACTCCTGACCTCAGGTGATCCACCCACCTCGGCCTCCCAAAGTGCTGGGTTTACAGGTATGAGGCACCGCACTGGGCCGATTGCATTCTTTTTTATGACTACATAGTATTCCATGGAATATATGGACCACATTTTCTTTATCTAATCTACCATTGATGAACATCTAGGCTGATTCCATGTCTTTGCTATTGTGGATAGTGCTGCGAAAAATGTACAGGTGCCTTTGTCCTTTTGGTAGAAAGATTTATTTCCCTTTGTGTATATACTCAGTAGTGAGACTGCTGGGTTGAATGGTAATTCTATTTTTAATTCTTTGAGAAAACACCAAACTGCTTTCCACAGTGGCTGAACTAATTTACATTCCCACCAACAGTGTGTTAAGAGTTCCCTTTTCTCTGCTACCTCACCAACATCCATTATTTTCTGACTTTAATAATAGCCATTCTAACTAGTGTAGATGGTATCTCATTGTGGTTTTGATTTGCATTTCTCTGATGATTAGTGATGTTGAGCATTTTTTCATATGTTTATTGGCCACTTGTACTCTTCTTTTGAGAAGTGTCCGCTCATGCCCTTTGCCCACGTTTTGATGGAATTATTTGTTTTTTTCTTGCTGATTTAAGTTCCTTATAGATTCTGGTATTAGTTCTTTGTTGGAGGCACAGTTTGTTAATATTTTCTCCTATTCTTTAGGCTGTTTACTCTGTTGATAGCTTCTTTTGCTGTGCAGAAGCTCTTTAGTTTAAGTAGGTCCCATCTGTCATTTTTTTGTTTTTGTAGAATGTGCTTATTTTCCCTGACTTTTCAGTCAGAATTTACAATCAAGGGGAGCGTAATTGATCCAGTGGAGACCCAGGATAAAAGGGTGTAATTGCCTAGAGAATCTTTTCTGTTAAACATCATTCATCTTACTTCCCTTATCCCTTTGCCTCCAAACCTGTTTCCAAAACAAAAGCATTGCTCCGAGGAAGTGCTTGCACAGTGATAGATAGCCCACGTGGGGAAAGGCTGGGAGAATCATGCAGAAGAGAAACCGAGAGAGATGGAGAGCGCATTCTGGCCAGCCACTTTTCTTGTCATCAATCACTGTTTGCCCCGCAGTAGTGGGCTGGGTGAGCGCAGCCTTATAATTAAAATTCTCTATTCTAACCTGTCCTCACATCTTTAAAATGATTCTTTGAGAAGTCTGGGTTAAAAGGTTTAAGGAAGAAGCCAAATTGTGAGTTTTGGGGGAAAGGACGATCATCATCTTTAAAAGAACTTTTGGTTTCCAAAGAAATATGTATAGAACTAAATGCACAGATTTTCTTTTCCATTTTTATTTTTTTAGCAATTCCCAAAGCCCTAAATCACATTTTCCCTTAGATTTAAACTCTAGAAAAACATTATTCTTCTTCTTCTTATTATTATTATTATTTGAGACAGGGTCTTGCTTCATTGTCCGGGCTGGAGTGCAGTGGCACAATCTCAGCTCACTGCAACTTCCACCTCCAGTGCTGAGGCGATTCTCCTGCCTCAGACTCCCAAGGGGCTGGGATTACAGGCCCGTGCCACCACACCTGGCTAATTTTTGTATTGTTAGTAGAGACGGGTTTCACCATGTTGGCCAGGCTGATCTTGAACTCCCAACCTCAAGTGATCTGCCCACCTCACACTCCCAAAGTGCTGGGATTACAGGCATGAGCCACTGTGCCCAGCCTAGGAAGACATTCTTGTCTTCTCTAGTTCACCCTCCACCACCGTCTCCTCTCTGGAGAGCCCCCTAAATGGCTACACAAAACAGCTAAACCACCTTTCTTCCTCCTGTGACCTTGCCCATACAGCGCCTCCTCTGAGTGCTTGTTCCTATCCCATCTCCTTGCAAAGGTACTAGAAAGTATTACAGCTGAGGTTCAGACATATTCATCTGTTACCCATTTACTAGTCAGAGAAATTAAATTATTTGATTGAATGAGTTCTGCTTCAAGCGACAGAAGAATGTTCCACCCTCCAGTAATGACATAGAGGACTAATTGAGTCTCTTTCCAGCTTCTGTCCTGAAAAGCAAACAATCAAACAAACAAAAAATAAAAGACATCGTGATACTCAGAAGCTCAGTACATATATAGAGGATACTTGACCTCTATATACAAAATAACTCACAAATGCACAATTGGATTATTAATAGTGTTATCTCACAGGAGTAGAATCAGGTAACCTTTACTTTCATCTTAGTATTTTCATATAACAAAGATGTATTATGTAAAAATATTAGGAAAAGTCCATCTATTTTCAATCTGACAGAAAAAGTATTGTTTTAATGCCAAGATTAGCTTTTTCTGACATAAACTATTTTCAAGAGTTTAGGACAGGCTGGGCACAGTGGCTCACACCTGTAATCCCAGCACTTTGGGAGGCTGAAGTAGGCAGATCACCTGAGGCCAGGAGTTTGAGACCAGCCTGGCCAACATGGCAAAACCCCATCTCTATTAAAAATACAAAAAAATTAGCTGGGCGTGATGGCACATGCCTGTAATCCCAGCTACTCAGGAGGTTGAGGCACAAGAATCACTTGAACTTGGGAGGCAGAGGCTGCAGTGAGCTGAGATCACACCACTGCACTCCAGCCTGAGCAGCAGAGCCAGACCCTCTTTCAAAAAAAAAAAAAGGTTTAAGACAAAAAAGGAAAGCTCACTTTCTATCAAAAATAAGCCTCCAAAAGACAATAACAGGGCTGAGTGTGGTGGCTCATGCCTGTAATCCCAGTACTTTGGGAGGCCGAGGCAGGCAGATCACCTGAAGTCAGGAGTTCAAGACCAGCCTGGTCAACATGGTGAAACCCTGTCTCTACTAAAAATACAAAAATTAGCCAGGCGTGATGGTGGGCACCTATAATCCCGCAACTTGGGAGGCTGAGGCAGGAGAATCGCTTGAACCTGGGAGGTGAGCCACTCAACCTCCGCCACTGCACTCCAGCGTGGGCAACACAGTGAGACTCTATCTCAAAAAAAGACAATAACAGTAACTTGAAAGAGGCTCCTCTTCACTTCTGCCACCTAACCCATAACTCCACCCATTTCTCCACTGGACTTACCTCATTCACAGGGATCAGAATACTGAATTGTTGCCTGTTCATCTGTAAAATGAAATAAGACATATAATTACTTTGAGGGTCTCCTATATTCAGAGGGAAAATGCTTCATAAAAGCTACTGCTTTAGCCCTTTCCAGAGAATCTCTACAGGTTATGATATTCAGAATTACAAGAAAGTTTCAATCACTAATATTTGTACGTTGTGACAAATTATTAATCATAGCAAAAATAATGGAAATAGCCCTTTGAGAACGATAGTTCACATTGTTCTCTTCTTGGTCTAAGGACCACATCATATCAAATGTCTCTAGTGTACGCAACTTAAAAATGGCACACAACTGAATTAAAATATTTTAGGAGATTAGATAATTTAATTACGTGCTACTTGGCTTGGGAAGGAGTATTTGTAAAATTAAGAGAGAAGCCATGAAGAATGAGGCAGAAGTAGGTTGGGAGATGCAGGTAAGATCTCAGCTCTCATTTCAGCCCAGCCCTCTCACCTGGCAGGTAGTAGTCATAGACCTTGATGGTTGCTGGTTTCAAGTTGGTGACCAGCACACTTTGGCTGATGGTGAAGGTGTAAATCTGAGTGTTCTTACTGAGCTGTGGGGAAGACAGATGAAACAATACCTTAGAACTAAAATGAAAATTACACTCTATGCAACGTGGAGTTAAAAGACCCTTGCTGTCTTTTTTTTTTTTTTTTTTCTTTGAGACGGAGTCTCACTCTGTCGCCCAGGCTGGAGTGCAGTGGCCAGATCTCAGCTCACTGCAAGCTCCGCCTCCCGGGTTTATGCCATTCTCCTGCCTCAGCCTCCCGAGTAGCTGGGACTACAGGCGCCTGCCACCTCGCCCGGCTAGTTTTTTGTATTTTTTAGTAGAGACGGGGTTTCACCGTGTTAGCCAGGATGGTCTCGATCTCCTGACCTCGTGATCCGCCCATCTCGGCCTCCCAAAGTGCTGGGATTACAGGCTTGAGCCACCGCACCCGGCCGACCCTTGCTGTCTTCATGTAGATTTTCTGAAACCCCACCAGGAACGGTGGCTCACGCCTCTAATCCCCGCACTTTGGGAGGCCGAGGTGGGTGAATCACCAGAGGTCAGGAGTTCCAGACCAGCCTGGCCAACATGGTAAAACCCCATCTCTACTAAAAATACAAAAATTAGCCGAGCATGGTGGCTGGCACCTGTAATCCCAGCTACTCAGGAGGCTAAGGCAGGAGAATCGCTTGAACCTGGGAGGCGGATGTTGCAGTGAGCTGAGATGGCACCACTGCACTACAGCCTGGGTGATAAAGCGACACTGCATCTCAAAACAAACAAACAAACAAACAAAAATTCTGAAACTCTCTACCTACCTCTGCTGCCCTATGACAGTCTGCCCTAAGACATTGCCTCCTGCTGACTTCCTGGCTCTTTCTTCTTAGGATCTTACAGCTCTCTGGCCCTCTTGTGAACTGGTTCCCTTTGTTCATGGTCTACGCTGACCCATGGTTTCTCCACTAAATTAGTCAAAGTGGCCAAAGAAAGCAGAGGCTTGCATTTTACTCCAACAGTTCTACGCCCCTTACTGGTTTGCTTTCTTCAATCTGGTCCCTGAGCAAATGATACCTCCTCAAAGGGGCTTTCCTTGAACACCTTATTTAAAAACAGTCACATCCCTGGCCTGCCTCACCAGCACTCTTTATCCCCTTATGCTGCATAACACTTATTACTACCAAAAAAAAAAAAGTGCGTGTATACACATATACATGTAATTTTAAAGAACTTGAATATTGTTGTCTCTCCACTAGAATATCAGCACTCTTAGGCCAGGTATCATATCTATTTTCTCCATCACTTAGAAAAGTGACTGGCATATGTTGGTTGCTCAGTAAATATTTGTTGAATAAATTAGCAAATGGAGAATCTAAGGCAATTGTATAAGTTACTTTACTATAACAAGAAAATAAATCCCAGCTACTTGGGAGGCTGAGGTGGGAGGATCATTTAAACCCAGGGGTGGAGATTATAGTGAGCCAAGATTGGGCCACTGAAGTCCAGCCTGGGCAACAGAGTGAGACTCTGTCTCAAAAAAAAAAAAAATTTCAAATTTAGGTATAGAGCTATTAACGCCTAATTGGAAGGGATTTCCAAAGTTCTTCAGGTATAGTGCCTCTCAAAGCGTGGTCAAGAGACCTCCCCTATTCCAGGGATCCCTGAGATTGCATCAGAGTATCTGAGAGGTCAGAATTATTTTTAGAATGATATTAAGACTTTTTTTTTCCACTCTCATTCTCTTACAAATATACAGGAGATTGTTTCCTTCTGGGGAAAGAGATTTAAAAAACTAAAAAATAAACAAGTACACAGTAGAGTTATCAGAGGCTACTTTATGTGTAATATTGCAATGGTTTGAACGTAGGAATAAATATAAAATTTCATTCTCTTTGATTAAGCCAGATATTAAAGCAAAAATGCAAAACAATGTCACTATTCTTATTTTTTTGTTTTGGAAAATAGTTATTTTCTTTTTCTTTTTCTTTTCTTTTTTTGAGATGGAGTCTCACTCTGTTGCCCAGGCTAGAGTATAGTGGCATGATCTCGGCTCGCCACAACCTCTGCCTCCTGGGTACAAGCGATTCTTCTGCCTCAGCCTCTCAAGTAGCTGGGACTACCGGCGTGCGCCACCACGCCCAGCTAATTTTTGTATTTTTAGTAGAGACGGGGTTTCACCATATTGACCAGGCTGGTCTCAAACTCCTGATCTTGTGATCTGCCCTCCTCAGCCTCCCAAAGTGCTGGAATTACAGGCATGAGCCATCATGCCTGGACAGAAAATAGTTATTTTCATAAAAATGTTATTTATATTAAGATGTAGTGAGTCTATTACTGTTTTTAAATTAATTAATAAATATTTTAAGATTATCTCAGTTTTAATTTCTAACATGATAAAGACCAATAGTTAAAACCCACTTCACTGAAAGCTGTTTGAGGCCCTCAGTAGATTAAGAGTGTAAAGGATCCTGAAACAAAGAACTTTTAGAACCACTGTTCTTTTCTATCATTTGGTCACCATAATGAATTAAAGTCAATGACTAACATGAACCAAAAGAAAGCTGGGGTAGGGCCGGGCGCGGTGGCTCATGCCTGTAATCCCAGCACTTTGGGAGGCCAAGGTGGGTGGATCACGAGGTCAGGGGTTCGAGACCAGCCTGACCAACATGGTGAAACCCCATCTCTACTAAAAATACAAAAATTAGCTGGGCGTGGTGGCAGGTGCCTGTAATCCCATCTACTCAGGAGGCTGAGGCAGGAGAATTGCTTGAATCCGGGAGGCGGAGGTTGCAGTGAGCCGAGATTGCACCACTGCACTCCAGCCTGGGCGACAAAGCGAGACTCCATCTCAAAAAAAAAAAAAAAAAAAAAGAAAGCTGGCTAGTAGCAGTTTTAATATCTGACTAAATGGCAACTAAGGCAAGGAAAAAAATGTGTGTGTGTGTATGTGTGGTGTAGGAATCTAAGGCAAAAGTATTTGATATAAATATATACACATATATAGTAATGGGGAAAGGATAGTATGTACTAATATAAGGAAAATTTAAGAAGATATGTTCATAATATATATATCTAATTACATAGTCTCAAATATATCAGGAAACGACAGCCAAAAATGTATGGATAAACGGATAAATCAAATATCACAATTAGAGGCCGGGGGCAGTGGCTCACACCTATCACTCCAGCACTTTGGGAGGCCTAGATGGCCAGATCACTTGAGGTCAGGAGTTCAAGACCAGCCTGGCCAACATGGTGAAACCCTGTCTCTATCCAAAAAATACTAAACAAACAAAGAAACAAACTCCATCATAATTGGATATTTTAACATATGCTTTTCAGAAACTGTTAAATCAAGCAGAAAAATAAGCAGAGTTATCAAACACATGAACAACAGAAATAATGATCTCAGACTTCTAGATCAGAATCCAGGCCCAAGAGAAAAGAAATAGATGTTCTTTTGGAGTGCACACTGAACACTTGCAAAAACAGATCACGGATTAGGTCATGGAAGAAACTTCAGCACATTCCAGGCAATCAGGATCATGAAGACTCTGTTCTCAGACCATAATGCAACAAAATTAGACATCGGGAACAAAAGGATGGCTTTAAAACTTTCATGTGTTTCCCAACAAATTAAGAAATATAAGTGAATGACAATGAAAACGCTACTTGTCTGAGATTGTGGGACAGGGATGGCATGTACCTCGAGGGACATTTATAGTACAAGTTCATTAAAGAATAAGGAAGACTATATATGTGAATAAGGTCATCCTCTGGTGAAATTGATCAAGACCACAAGGGAGAAGATACACAGAAAAGAGGAAATAACCACAGATACCATCATTAGCACTGGCTTTTAGACCATTAGACCTGATGCTTCAGATTAGAAGCCAACTGGCAGATTTGGCAGGACACACTGAGGAGCAAGCAGTTCATCACCGTCTCGGACATGGTGTCATAGAAATCAGACTCCCAGGTTCTGCTCCCACCCTAGACACAGACAGATGGGATGACTCGGACAAGCCACTCTCTCTCCAAGTCTCAGTCGGTTGCTGTAAGACTTGAATAAGTTATGTGTGAAAGCATCAGAGACTTGGCAAAGTTTTAAACCGCAACATCATGATTACAAGGTAGTGCCTGATAAGCTAACCCGAGCTATGTCAAAAGAAGCTATACACGGCTCACACAACGTGAACAAAACCCTGGTTCCCGGGAAGATAGGAAACACAGTTAGATGATCGGGTTGGTGGCTGGGCAGGGGTTCGGAAATGGATGTTACTAACAACAGCATCTTTCGATTTGGGATATTCCTGTCTATTGGTTATATACAATAAGGATAACTTTGTTCCTTGTGTGGAGTGGAATATCATGAAAAGGAGCATTGTTAACAATTTTTAGAACGTTGTTAGTCCTTGAGAACTTCTTGCTTTATTAAAATGAAAGGTTATATACGATGTCTGATTAATATTAAGTAATATTAACATTATGTTAAAATGATACAAATGGCTATAGAGTAATGAGGGCTTACTCTGTACCAGGTACAGTCCTAGATATTTTTACATGTCTTAAATAATTTAGTTTTTTCTAGAACTCTAAGAGATAACTATTTTGACCCCTACCCACACACATTTTACAGCTAACTTTCAACAATTTGTCCAGTTACACAGCCAGTGCTAGAACCAAGATTGCAGCCCAGGCAGTCTGGCTTCAGAGCTTCTGCTATTAACTACTATAGCATACTCGAGAGTTGCAATGTCACTTGTGGCTATTGAGCGCTTGAAATGAGGCCAGACAGAATTGAGACGCGCTGACAGTGCTGTAAAGGTGTGGTACAGAAAAAAAAAAAAAAAAGAATGTAGATATCTCATTAATATTTCTGTATATTAATTGTATAGTAAAATGGAAATATTTGGGGTATATAGGCTTGCATAAAATATACCATTAAATTTAATTTCATCTGTTCCTCTACTTTTTAAATGTGGCTACCAGAACTCTTTAAACAATGTAAATGGCTCACATTATAGGTCTGTTGGACAGGGCTTCTCTAGAGGCACAACGGGGTGTTTTATGATATACCAGCATGGAGGCAGAACTCATGGCGTGGTGTGGACTCGCTCCCAGGCCCCTCATCCCCATGTGTGTGACCCCCATATATACAGATTAGAAGAGAAGTCATGAAGATCCATAAGCAGTCCAGCTCTTTGATCTAGTTCCTGAATACCTACCTCATCCAAGTAAATGTTAAGTGTGTCAGTTCCAAATTCAACCTTCTTCACCAGGGGTTGCTGGAGAAGCTGCATAAGAGAGGGAGAAAAACAGAGACTAAGAGCCAGAGCCTTCGCTATCCCCTAGGGTAGTCTTCCAAAGCTCTGCCATGATCAAGGAAACAATCTATACTGTGGAAAAGGTAGGAAAAGGGAACTGAGACTATTACAAGTTGCGTGTCTGCTACAACCTTGCAGCCCATTTAAATCCAATCATGAGTTTGTATGTATGTGTATATATACATATATACATATATACACACACACATACATATATGCACATATATACATGTACATATACCTACATATGTATATATACACACACCGTGTATATGGATGCCATATATATATGAAAACTACTTTTCTTACAAATGTACATACATATACATACATATATATGTATGTATATACATGCCATGTGTATATGTGTGTGTGTATATATACACACACATGCCATGATGCCCATTTTACCAGTTTTTTTGATTATACTGTCAGGTCCCCTCACAGCTAGATAAATGAAGAAAACAGAAGTAACTTACTAACTGACTGGTGCCCTCCATGGGACTGAACCCAGATAGCAGCTTCACTTCCACAATCACCATATTGGAAGAGCTACGGCTCCCCACATAACTGAGAGCAGGAAGAAGAAAACACATGTGAGCCTATTACTTCAGTGCACTCTGCATCCCCAACACACATACACACACACACGCGCACACACACACACGTGTCCCACCTCAGCTCCTCAGACCAGGTGCTCTGCCCGCCACCAGCACCCCAATTTTCCTCACCTGGTGTGAATAGCGAGAGTCAAGGATCGAGGTGAAGTCAGTTGCTCACATCTAGCTTTTCCCATTTCCACGCTAAGACTAAAGGTCTTCATATTTTTAGGAGGGAGAATATTGTATCTCAACACCGTCTGGTAGGAAGAAATAGCCAAATCAGGGTTGGAAAGAGCTTTAAAGATTGTACAGTTCAAACTACTTTTCTTACAAGTGAGAAACAGAGAGCGAGAGAGAAGGCCTAAGGGGAAGATGCCCTCAGACTCTCCTTCCCAATGTACATTCATTCTCATAGATCTCTACTTACCTGTACATAGACACAGCCCTGGCCTGAGGCCTCCAGCGTGTACATTCCAGGGACATTGGGCAGAGGCTTCTGCTGAAATACCAATCTGTTGGCTGACTGTATGTTGAATGTATGCTGGAAATTCTCAGTGGATTTTACAACCAGGTTGATCTCCTCAGATGGCGTGTAGGCGGTAGTGGCATATTTGGCAAGAGCTTGGAGAGCAACTACAGTATCCTGTGGGAAACAACCAAACGTATGCTTACCATTTTGTGAGTCATTGGAATTAACCTTGAACAACTCTATAACCCACACACGTGGTTGTTGTTAGTTGGCTTGGATGATGCCTCCTCTAAGTATTTAGAGAACTATACCCACCTCCTCTGGAGAAGCTGACATAGAAATCACAGTAGCTTACTTTTACAGAAAATCACCATCAACAAGGTACTACTGAACATCCGCAGGTTACTTGGTTAACCTAATCGATTCATATTCAGAAATCAAACAGCTTCAGAATGAGTTATTGCTAGAAGCAAGTGGATAACTGTTCAGTATATATTTTACAGTTTCCTTATTTGGGGAGGAAACAGTAGTAACATGACAGCCCTAGAAATTGCAGCCTATGACGTAATTTAACTTTGTGATGATCTTCTACATCACAGTTGGAAGGAGCATCAGGGACCTAGGAAAGTCCTTCCTTGCAGGCTGGCTTCTTAGCCGTGATACCATGTGATAATCTTTTATTTCTCTGGGAATAAGACAGATAACTGTCACTAAGTGAGCCTGGTACAGTAACGTTTGAACTGTTTCATTCTGAAAACATAATTCATATAAATTACAAGGGGAAAGAAAAATGAATAAAGTGTTCAACAAAATTGTCACATCTCGCTCTATGTTATGAAAATTTCAGGCCGGGTGCGCTGGCTCAAGCCTGTAATCTCAGCACTTTGGGAGGCCGAGACGGGCGGATCACGAGGTCAGGAGATCGAGACCATCCTGGCTAACACGGTGAAACCCCATCTCTACTAAAAAATACAAAAAACTAGCCAGGTGAGGTGGCGGGCGCCTGTAGTCCCAGCTACTCCGGAGGCTGAGGCAGGAGAATGGCGTAAACCCGGGAGGCGGAGCTTGCAGTGAGCTGAGATCCGGCCACTGCACTCCAGCCTGGGGGACAAGCGAGACCCCGTCTCAAAAAAAAAAAAAAAGAAAATTTCTACATGCTTGATACTGTGTAAAATATCTATTACAAAAAAAAAAACCCCTATTTCTTCATCTCACAAATGAAAAAGACATTCTTATTTCGACATTATCACTGTCCTACAAAACAGGAAGACAGATCACCCACCCTGGTGAAGCCGTGAAGAAGTTCTATCTGTGCAGCTTGGCCATCTACAAACAATTTTTGTTTACCCTTTGTGGACTGGAGCCAGGGAGATTTTTTACTGCTTGAACATATGGGGACAATTCAAAGAAAGGGACCTCACTGTCAGCTGAAAAACCAGTGTGAGTAATATATATGACCTCTTGTGATAGCCAAGGATTTCATTGAAAAAATGATTCTGACATATACCTGTCACTGCGAGTTGTAAACATTTCATCTACTGCTTTCCAAAAATATTAGTATATATTATAATTTTTTAGGACTGAACAAGAAGAAAGGAGTCTTTTCTAATCTTTGGCCAAGCATTTCCCTGAAACAGGGAGGCATAGTACCATATAATTTTTTAAAGTTTCAATTAGGTCATTACCACAGTTAAACTTGGTGCCTTTAACATTTTTACCAAACATGCAATCTATTAAAAGATGTTCATTCTTTCAGGTCTGATTTACATGTTATATCTTCAGTGAAACTGGCCAATTTCAACAAATCAGATTATAATCTTCATGAGGACAAGAAATATATTTTCTTAGTTACTTCTGTAGCCTCATCAAAGCGATTTGGACATGGTAGATATTTAATAATATTTTCAGAATAAATTAATGACTACTCTCTTCATTATAATCTAAAATAATTTTTTTATGATTTGAGTTTATCATACAATTCTACCCCTCTTTTTTTTTCCCTACTGCCACACCATTCATTCAATTTCCCAATTTCCCCTTACCCCTAACCTGGATAAAACAATCTCCTGATCTCTTCAAGTCCAACCTTTCTCTCCTCTAAATTATCTCACACACCAAGTGGCTAATTAATCTTTCTGAAACAAAGTTAAAATTGTTGTTGTTTTTGTTGTTGAGACGGAGTTTTAACTCTTGTTGCCCAGGCTGGAGTGCAATGGCACCATCTCGGCTCACTGCAACCTCCGCCTCCCAGGTTCAAGCGATTCTCCTGCCTCAGCCTCCCAGGTAGCTGGGATTACAGGCACCCACCACCATGCCTGGCTAATTTTGTATTTTTAGTAGAGATGGGGTTTCTCCATGTTGGTCAGACTGCTCTCGAACTCCCGACCTCAGGTGATCCACCTGCCTCGGCCTCCCAAAGTGCTGGGATAACAGGCTTGAGCCACCATGCCCGGCCCCAGTGTTTCACACTCAACAAAAAAAGAAAATTAAATGCATCTGGTACTATTTATGTGCTCATATAACCCATTTTATGAATACTTCTATATATTTTTCACAGGCTTTTCCTCTCTAAGACCCTGGACCGAGAAGGCAAGGACAATACCTTTTCCTCTATCTCCATACAAGATCTAATTCTACCTATTAAGTGGTAGTGGGAGAACAGGCTGTTTACCTGAGTAGAAGAGAAGCCCCCATATGCATTCCGTTGCTTGGCCAACCAAGCCACTATGCTAGTGGCCTTGGCTATCTCCTTTTGAGTCAGGCTGGGCTTGGTAAGCTGGGCCAACAATGCGTATGCTGTAAGTTCCACATCTAGAGCCACAGGCTCAGACCAAGGGCTGGCATTCGATGATGGAGCAGGTTTGTGGCTCCAGTGAATGGATTCTCCTATGGAAAAAGAAACATAACTAGGATGTCCTTAGAAGGAACTGGCTTTCCCACATTCACTTTGTAAATGCAGTATCTTAGAGCAGAGAAAGTACCAACTGAGAATTAAACAGAGTAGAAAAAAATGTCTTAGATGTAGCTGATTCATTGACCTTGATGTAAATGCAAGGATGCATGTATGCACGTGTGTGTAAAGCTAGAAGCATCAATAAATGTTCCTGCCTCCAGCAATTACATGAAAACCACTCTTGTTACTTTATCAGTTTTGATGTTAATGGAAATAGGTAAATAGAAGCTTCTTACAAGAATCTCTGTGTTTGGGGGCAATTTTTGTTTGCTTACAGTTTTATGAATTTTTCAGGATTTATTTTATTTAATCAAAGATTTAGGCTGGGCGTGGTGACTCACGCCTATAATCCCAGCACTTTGGGAGGCCAAGGTGGGCGGATCACCTGAGGTCGGGAGTTCGAGACCAGCCTGACCAATATGGAGAAACCCCATCTCTACTAAAAATACAAAATTCACTGGGTGTGGTGGCGAACGCCTCTAATCCCAGCTACTCGGGAGGCTGAGGCAGAAAAATCGCTTGAACCCAGAAGGTGGAGGTTGCGGTGAGCAAAGATCGCCCCATTGCACTCCAGCCTGGGCAACAGGAGTGAAACTCCATCTAAAAAAACAAACAACAAACAAACCAGATTCAACATTTTAGGTAGAACAAAAATGGCAGAGCATATGTAAGAATTCTGAGAAACCATGAAGAAATGCTAATGAGGCCAACTATATGAAATATGCTTAGAAGGCAGTCCAGTGATGGCGGGCACTTGTAGTCCCAGCTACTCGGGAGGCTGAGGCAGGAGAATGGCGTGAACCCGGGAGGTGGAACTTGCAGTGAGCTGAGATCACGCCACTGCACTCTAGCCTGGGTGACAGAGCCAGACTCCGTCTCAAAAAAAAAAAAAAAAAAGGACATGAGACCAAAAGAAACCTCTGTGACAGCCAAGATGACAGTTAACGGATAACTTGAAGAAAAAATAAAATAACAAATGGAAATGAGAAGGGTATAAGTTAGAAGACTAATTAAACAGAATTTTAGAGATAATAAGCAACCACAGAAAGGCAATCTAATTGGAAGAATGTAACAGGAAACATGTGAGCTTGCAATATAAGATAATGGAAAAGAGATAATCACAATAAATCAATATACGGTGGAACAGGTCCCCTTGTCTCAGACACACATTTCATGACTAGAGCTTCTTACACACAAGAGGAAAAGCTACCCCACCCCCTATGAGAGGACAGTTCAGCCATGACACTCATATAAATGAAGGCTGAGACTGCATTTCTGCCTGGAAGAATAATTTTAAATACACAGTCAGATAAATGAAATGCATTACAAGATCTGCCATAACTTCAAATAGTATTCTAAATACATTTAAAGTGGTCCAGGCCAGGTGCAATGGCTCACGCTTATAATTCAGCACTTTGGGAGGCCAAGAAGGGTAGATCACTTGAGGTCAGGATTCTGAGACCAGCCTGGCCAACATTGTGAAACTCCATTTCTACTAAAAATACAAAAATACAAAAATTAGCCAGTGTGGTGGCAGGCACCTGTAGTCCCAGCTACTTGAGAAGCTGAGGCAGGAGAATCACTTGAATCCAGGAGGCAGAGGTTGCAGTGAGCCAAGATTGCACCACTGCACTCCAGCCTGGGCAACAGAGCAAGGCACCGTCTCAAAAAAATAAAAAGTAAAATAAAAATTTAAAAAATATTTAAAGTGGTCCTACGTCAAAGAACTTTCAAAGATCTCCAAAAGGGTAATTCCACAATGACAATATACTTTCTGACTAGCTTCTTCAGTGTAGTTTCTCTTCATATTAGAAGTATAAAAATGTGGCCACTGGTGGTGGCTCATGCCTGTAATCCCATGGGCAGGTCACCTGAGGTCAAGAATTCGAGTCCAGCCTGGTCAACATGGTGAAACCCCTTCTCTACTAAAAATACAAAAATCAGCTGGGCATGATGGCACACGCCTGTAATCCCAGCTACTCGGGAGGCTGAGGCAGGAGAATTGGTTGAACTGGGAGGCAGAGGTTGCAGTGAGCCGAGATCACGCTATTGCAATCCAGCCTGGGCAACAAGAGAGAAACTCGGTCTCAGAAAAAGAAAAAAAAGTATAAAAATGCCCTGTGAGCACTTGCATGTGTTTCTCACAAACTTCCCAACAATAATCTTATGACTTAACAACTGTTACTAAAATGAATCCTAGAGTTCATGTGTAGGAGAGAGGATACTAAGGAGATTATAGATAACTCACAGCTTACGTTCACAATTTCAAACAACTCTTAACAGGACCAACATACCTGAGATGATAGCCTGTTGATCTAACTGTCTAAGGAGAATGTCTCTGATGTCCATTTCCCCAGCCAGGGAGAAAATGTAAGCCAACAGGGCCTGTGTGTAGAGGCTGGTGGTGGAGGTGGCCGAATTCTTGAGACACTGTAGACCCTGGCTCACCATTGGGTCCTAAAAAGTGAAGAAGAAGACCATAATTTATAAGGCATTCCTTAAAAAATGGGAAGTAATCAGGAAATCATCGTATCCTTCTTGACCTTAAAAGGGTGACTAGGGACAAAGATGGGTCAGTGTCTCTAGGAATAGGCCTGAGAAGGAGGGTATCAAGAGGAGGAGCCAGGAGAACTTACATCTACATCCTTTCCCATCTCCAGCAATGCAGCTGTAACATATGCAGTCAAGGAGACCTCATCATCAACACCACCCTAGAGACAAGCAGGGAGACAGTGAGTCAGGGCAGCAGACAGCAGCTGCAAGAATTATGTGCAGATTGCAAAACGACATCCCCTCTGAACAGATGAATTATTTTTAAAAAGAAAAAAAAAAATAAAAAAAGCTCTTCTTTCCACAGACTTTCTGCAGCTCAAGCCTCCAGGACACACCAAGAGGGAACAGGCTGGACTTCAGTAACTGCAGAGCCTTAAACAGCCTGCAGGAGGCAGCACGTGGACTTCAGCTGAGTGGGTGTTGAAGAAACCCGAGAGGAGTTAAGAAGCATAAGAGGTTTAAAGAAGGGAGGAATAAGGAGAGAATCTGCCGCATCACTGCATCTGAGCCTCCTCACATGCAGCTCCCGTCAAGCAGGACAATGCCCAGCCCTTCTCCAGGGGAGATTAGGTGAGACCTTCCCTGCTTATTGCCTTTCCCAGAAATATCAAAGCAAATTTTAAAAAATATCAAATCAAATTATTATCCTCATTCTATAGATAAGAAAACAAACACTTAACAAGATTAAATAGCTTGTGGCCAGGCATGGTGGCTCATGCCTATTATCCCAGCTTGAGGCCAAGGTGGTGGGGAGGATCCCTTGAGCTCAGGAGTTTGAGGCCAACCTGGGCAATACAGTGAAACCCCATCTCTACAAAATGTACAAAAATTAGCCAGATGTGGTGGCATGCGGATCCGTGGTCCCAGCTATTCAGGAAACTAAAGTAGGAGGATCATCTGAGCCTGGGGAGGTCAAGGCTGCAGTGAGCCATGATCATGCCACTGCACTTCAGCCTGGGTGACAGAGTGAGACCCTGTCTCAAATAAATAAATAAATAAATAAATAAATAAATAAATAAATAAGATTCAGCCGGGTGCGGTGGCTCACACCTGTAATCCCAGCACTTTGGGAGGCTGAGGCGGGCAGATTACCTGAGTTCAGGAGTTCAAGACCAGCCTGGCCAACATGGTGAAACCACGTCTCTACTAAAAATACAAAAATTAGCCAGGCGTGGTAACACATGCCTGTAATCCCAGCTGCTCAGGAGGATGAGGCAGGAGAATTGCTCGAGCCTGGGAGACGGAGGCTGCAGTGAGCCGAGATTGCTCCACTGTACTCCAGCCTGGCCAACAGAGCAAGACTGTCTCAAAAATAAATAAACAAACAAATAAATAAATAAATAAAAAGATTAAATAGCTTGCTCACGGTTACATGGCTCATCTGCAGCAGGACTAGAATTTGAACCCAGGACATTTAATTCTGGAGTTCATGTGCCAAACCACGAATCTTGGCTACACAGAGGATGGATTTCTCAATGGACTGGCCTCCTCTTGTAAGAAAATAGGAAGAGGCTGGGTGCGTGTGGGTCATGCCTGTAATCCCAGCACTTTGGGAGGTCAAGGCGGGTGGATCACTTGAGGTCAGGAGTTCAAGACCAGCCTGGCCAACATGGTGAAACCCCATCTCTACTGAAAATACAAAAATTAGCCGGGCGTGGTATCACGTGCCTATAGTCCTAGCTGCTCAGGAGCCTGAGGATCACTTGAACCCAGGAGGTGGAGGTTGCAGTGAGCTGGGATTTTGCAATTACACTCCAGCCTGTGCAACAGAGCGAGACTCTGTCTCAAAAAAAGAAAGGAAAGAAGGAAGAATACCTCTGGGATCTTGTTCTAGTCAAGTCCTTTATTTTAGTAGAGACAGTGTTTCACCATGTTGGTCAGGCTGGTCTCGAACTCCTGACCTCATGATCCACCCGCCTCAGCCTCCCAGAGTGCTGGGATTACAGGCGTGAGCCACCGCGCCCAGCCCGCAGGTATATTTCATACAGTGTATAAGAGAAGATGAAGATGAGAACTTAGGGGAGACTAGTAAGATCCTGCAGAGGAAGTCTAATGAATCCTATAAAGAGATTTTTTTTTTAACATTCAAGATTTTTAATCCTTGCCCTGGAATAGCAACGTAAGTGACTTCTCTAGAAAAGTTTATACAAGTCTTTCTTGCACTCAGTGTGTTCTGAATTGAACGAGTTTTCCTGCAGGATCTACGCCTCACCCTGTTTGGGACAGGTACAGGCAATAGTGAACAGAAGAGAGCAGTGCCTCTGGAGTGCAACTGCCGTGGTTCAAATCTCAGTCCTGACACTTATTAGCATGCACCTTGGGCAATTCACTTAGTCTCCATCCTTTAGTTTCTTCATCTGTAAAATGGGATTAATAATGACATTCCAATACCTAGCTCACTAATTTGTTGTAAACATTAAATAATGTCAAATAAACCACGTGCCTAGAACAGTGCTCAGCAGAGTAAACCTCTTACAAAAGACGTTGGGCTGCCTACTAGTCCTCACCACAGGAAATGGCTTTCCCATATGCATTTGGTGACATAGTAAGAGGCCCAGAGATCTTTTAGTGCAGTAGTCTCAAATTTCAGTGTGTATCAGAATCATCCGGACGGCTTGTTAAAACACAAATTTCTGGCCCACCCTCCCAGAGTTCATCATTCAGTAGCTGTGCGCTGGGAGTCAGAATCTGCATGTCCAACAAGTTCCCAGGTGATGCTGATGCTCCTGATCTGGGAACTATGCTTTGAGAACCATGCTCCAGTCCACGTTCTCTTTCTCTCTCTCTCTCTCTCTCTCTCTCCCCCTCCCTTTATTTTTTATTTATTTATTTTTTGAGGCAGGGTCTCATTCTATCACCCAGGCTGGGTGCAGTGGTACAATCACAGCTCACTGCAGGCTTGACCCCCTGGGTTCAAGTGATCCTCCCACCTCAACCACCCAAGTAACTGGGACTACAGGCATGCACTAACATGCCTGACTAATTTTTCATAGTTGTTTTTTGTAAAGATGGGGTTTCACCACGTTGCCCAGGGTGGTCTCAAACTCCCGGGCCCTAACGATCTGCCCACCTTGGCCTCCCAAAGTGCTGGGATTACAGGCATGAGCCACCGCACCCAGCCTTCATCTGTATTCTCATTCTACAGACATGAAAACTGAGGCCCAGACCAGCTAAGCATTTTGACCATGGGCACTCAGAGCCACAGTGGAAACCAGAAGAAAACTGATTCCCAGGCCAGTGCTCTTTTGCTTCTGCTCGGTCAGAGGTGTGAGGTCCTTTGAGACAGTGGCCGGCTGCAGGCCCCTGGACAGATCCGCACCTTCATAGCTGTGTGAAGGAGAGTTCCCACATTGGCATAGCAGCCGCTGAGGAGCTGGTTTCCTGCCATCCACTTGAGAGCATCCTGGATGTTCTTGGGATCAATGAAGATGAATTTCCGAGCTTGGCCAAAGCATTTCGTGACAAAGGCTGTCAGCCTACATGGGTAAAGAGGAAAATGTGGCATGAAGGTGAATTTCCAGGTGAGGGTGCTATCATTTTTTCATGTATTTGGGTGCATACTTCCAGAAGGGGAGCTGAGGGAACATATGCCACAGCAGGCCTAGAAAACAGAGGCATGAACGGGCCCCAGTGAGGACAAGAACAGGGGAGGCACAAGCTCAGGGAGAAGATCGAGGGACTTGACCATCCATGAGGGTGAAATAAGCAGTATTAAAGAGGTAGAAGACTGAGTGCAAGAAGGAATGGGGTTAAGGGGAGAGGTATTGGAATAGTTCCAGAGGGCTCAGGAATTATGCGCTGGAGTACACAACTCATTGGGAATTGGGCGATATTACCATGTGTTTCCATTTCCATCTCGCTCCCCAAAGGCACTGTATGAGCCATTGCTGTGTTTGTACGTCAGCTCCTTCTGGTACCCTGGGGAGCCAAATGTGGTTTTAGATCACAGTGACAACTTCAAAAAACACCCCCGTGCTTTTCAAGGATATGGGACACTTCAGGGGCTGGAATTCCCTGTATCTTATCAATCTGTCATAGGGCCTAGTGCAGGAGAGTGTCCAAGAAAGAAAGATTGAACCAACTTACCTATCTCCAGGAAACCCACTGCCCGAGACCTGATTTCCTCCGTCAGCAGCCCTGCCTTCTCCAGGTACTGCAAGACATAGATGATAGGAGCAAACAACACCATGTTCTGCTCGCCACAGCCACTGGGCATCTGCACCAGACCATCTAGGTTCTGCAGGGCTGTGCCCATAATGTCTCCTGGGATCCAAAAGGAGAGAGAGAAGGTGGGGGTACAGAGAAGAAGGAACCCTCTAAGAGTTATCATCATTCACTTAACAAACATGTATTAGCTATCATTTAGTAAGTACCTACTCTGTGCCCTGGGAAGACAACAGTAAATCAAACTGTCTCTACCCTCAGAGAACTCACAGAGGAGCAAACCATTACAACACATTATAATTTTTATTCATTATAGACAATTTTCATACAGGACTACAATATCATACTGGATATGTAGGAGGTGCTAGAGGACACAGAGAGGTGCATAGGCTGTCTGAGAGAGTTCAGGGCTTTTAAGAAGACATGTCACTGAACTGATGAGTGAGGTGACAAAACTTGTATCACTTAGGCTCAATCTCTAAGTTCCTCTACCACTGCACATACGTTCCTCACCCTCCAAATCACCAAGTTTCTCTAAAACACAGTCCTGACAGTCTTCTCCAAGTTGTCACTGACCCCTTCCTATGCTTCCCAAGCCAGTGAGCCTGACATACGTGACTCATTAACATCTGCACTGTAGCCAACGAGCTCCATTCAAATCTGTAAATGTGTCCTGAATGTCAACTATGTTGCAGGAACTGTACTAGGAACAGAAAAGAAAAAGATGTGGCCCTTGCTCTTCAGGAGACCCCAGTACAGTGTGGAAGACAGACATAGACACTGAACTCTAATAGAACAAGACAAGCGCTATGTCAGACTGATGAATAAAATAGACAAAACAGAGACGTTGTGACTGCAAAGGATCTCAACAGAGGGCGAGGGAGTAAAGAAAGAGTCTAACATTCACAGGGCTGCTACTACATGCTAGATTTTGTGCTGGGAACTTTAATATTGCACTTAATCTTTACAGCAGTCTGAGAGGTAGGTTATTGTTACTGTTTTACAGAAGAGGAAAGAAGGTCCAGAACTGTTCACTAACTTGTTCAGGGTCACACGGCTACTAAATGACAGGTTAGATATGATTTTTAAGTTCATGCTTTTCAATCCACTTCCTCCCTTGCCCAAAACAGTAAGTGTGCTGCCTATTGTAAACATGGTTGTATCTTCCCTAAACTATACCCAAATTCCTCATTTTTAAAAACGGCTGCTGCAAATATTTTGTCTTCCCTTCACCCGATTTATAGACTGTCTAAACCTAAATACATATCAAGCTTCAGTGACCTTAACTTCTTCCTACCTTGACTCCTTTCTTTTTTTTTTTTTTTTGAGATGGAGTCTTGCCCTGTCACCCAGGCTGGAGTGCAGTGGTGTGATCTCGGCTCACTGCAAGCTCTGCCTCCCGGGTTCACGCCATTCTCCTGCCTCAGCCTCCCAAGTAGCTGGGACTACAGGCGCCCGCCACCAGGCCTGGCTAATTTTTTTTTTGTAATTTTAGTAGAGACAGGGTTTCATCGTGTTAGCAAGGATGGTCTCGATCTCCCAACCTCGTGATCTGCCCGCCTCGGCCTCCCAAAGTGCTGGGATTACAGGCGTGAGCCACTACGCCTGGCTTCCTTTCCATTTTTAACTAGAATACAAGTCGAATCCCATCTGTATTGTTGCCTACACTGTATTTCCCTCCTATATAAAATACGCTCTTTTTCCTTCAATCACTTGTCATTAGTCACATTCTCCAGATAGGTCCGCATGTCCCGCCCCACCCCACACCTTTGCAGCCTCCATTCTCCTTTTCGTTTCTGAGCCAAGAATCTCTAACTGCTTACCCAGAACTGTAACATAAGCCTTGGTCGAGTCAGGAACAACGTCCACTGGGAGCTCCAGGGAGACAGATTCAGATGCCACCTCTCCTGTGAGAGGCAGAAAAAAAGGTGACACAGTAGAAGATGGGAAATGGCAGGGGTTCTGAAGCCAAAATTGTAGAACTTGCTATAATCCAGGGATTTGTGTGCTCGGTGCTTTCTCTGGGATGCAGAAAGCACTGGGTACTATTCATAGTGATCTTGCTGAAAATAAATTCCACAGAGAGTCATCATCGTGCTGCACCCTTTCTCTTCTTCCTCCTGCCTCCCAGTTAATCAGCCCCATGAGGAATGGCACCCCAGACTCTCCTGTTCCTTATGGTCCTGTGCATTCCTCCTTTTGTCTATGAAAATCTCCTGCTGCCAGATGCGCTGGCTCACGCCTGCAATCCCAGCACTTTGGGAGGCCAAGGTGGGTGGCTCACAAGGTCAGGAGTTCGAGACCAGCCTGGCCAACATGGTGAAACCCTGTCTCTACTAAAAATACAAAAATTAGCCAGGCATGGTGGCATGCACCTATAGTCCCAGCTACTCAGGAGACTGAGGCAAGAGAATTACTTGAACCTGGGAGGCAGAGGTTACAATGAGCTGAGATCGCGCTACCGCAATCCAGCCTGGAGGATGGAGCGAGACTCCATTTCAAAAAAGAAAAAAAAAAGAAAAGAAAAGAAAATCTCCTGCCCTCTAAGGGAATTCTCACCACCAATCCTGCTCTGAGTCCACCTACCTTTTGGGCACAGCAATGAGCTGTGTGTCTTCTCCACAAGGACTCCTTCAGGCTGGCATGAAGAGAGACACAGATAAAAACAACAAAGATGAACGTCAGGAGAGATGGTACTAAAGGAAAGGGAAGGGAGGCCCCCCGCTGTGTCCCCAGGGCTTCCCTCAGAACTGCAGAGAAGGGCTTCTCATTGAAGCTCAGAAGAACTCCGTGTCAACCAAGGATGGGCCCTTTCTGTAAAGTTCTTTCTAGGCAAGCGCTAGAGCCAAAGACACAATTAGGCAACTTCTAAGGGGCAAGATTGACAATGGGCTTCATGACGGGACAAAAAAGGCAGCTATTGATGAAGACAGACATTTTAATCAGGGAAACTAACATTCATTGAGTGCCTATGATGTGCCAGGTTTTAGGTGCTTTCATAGGCCATGGGTGTGGATTAGGCAAATGTTCAAGGGGCCAGGGAAGGAGAAAGTTGAAGCTGCCCAATTGGACTGGAGTACGGTTGCTGTGAGAGACAAACTCGCAGCAAGAGGAGATGTTGAGCATCCCTCAGTTGGTTGCTGTCTCGACCTCTGAAGCAAACTCACTTTGACGAGAACTGGCTTGATGAGCGTGTCACTCCAGCCCTTTTGGGGAACAAACCCCTTCTGGCCCCCACATGGTTCATTGCTGTCCAGAATCTTTGTACTAATAGTAAAGTTAATGTGACCTGAGAGAAAGAAGGAGAAGGGAAGCCATTAGCCCTATTGCCAGAGGTACCAGCTGGGTCCGTTCCCATTTGGATCAGCATTTCTGAAACTTTAATGGGGATCTTGCTACAGTGCAAACTCTGCTGCCACAGACCTGGGGTGGAGCCTACATCCTGCATTTCTAACAAGCTCCCAGGTGACACCAGAGAGGCTAGTCCGGTGTGGTAAGTAACCTCTAAGGACCCTCAGAGATCCTTGCGTCCTGATATTTGCATCCCATTGAGTGTGGGCTGGATTGAGCGACTCACTTCTGTTAAATAGAACAGGGCGAAAGTAATGACTCTTCTGAGATTAGGTTACAAAAAGACTGCAGCTTCCATCTTGGGTGCACCCCTTTTCTCAAACTGCTTGCTCTGGGGAAGATGGCTGTTGTGTGAGGACGCAGCCCAGCGGAGAGATTCATGTGATGAGATACTGAGTGAGGCCCCTAGCCAACAGCTGAGGTCAAGAACTGTGTCCTTCAGTCTAGCAGGCTGTGAGGATCAGAGACTTTGGGGTGAGCTTGAAAAATCAATCCTCTCCTAGTCAAGTCTTCAGATGAAACCACAGCCCTCACTGACAGCTTGAGTGCAACCTCATGAGATACCTTGAGCCAGAAGTACCCAGCTAAGCTGCACCCAGATTAATGACCCGTAGAATCTGTTTGATAATAAATGTTTGTCCTTTTAAGACACTTAAGTTTTACAATAATTTGTCAAGCAGCATGAGCTAACTCATACATACGAAGATCAAACTTTGAGTTGCAAGGATTTCACCTATGAGTGACTGACATCCCATAGAGTTGGGGGTGAGGATTAAATGAGTTAAAGGTGAGGTGACTCATTCTTGTAATCCCAGTACTTTGGGAGGGTGAGGCAGGAGAATCGCTTCAACCCAGGAGTTGGAGAGCAGCCTGGGACACATAGCAAGACCCCTTCTCTGCCAATTGAATTAGCCAGGCATGGTGGTGAAATGATCCTATAGTCCCAGCTACTCTGGGAGGCCTAGGTGAGAGGATCACTTGAGCTGGGGAGGTTGAGGCTGCAGTGAGCCATGACCACACCACTGTATTCCAGCTTAGGTGACAGAGTAAAATCCTGTCTCTGTAAAGAAAATAAAAGGCCAGGTGCAGTAGCTCACACCTGTAATCCCAGAACTTTGGGAGGCCGAGGCAAGCAGGTCACCTGAGGTCAGGAGTTTGAGACCAGCCTGGCCAACATGGCAAAACCCCATCTCTACTAAAAATACAAAAA